CTTTGATTTCCCAAGTACTGGCACCTAGCCTTAATCTGCCCTTTGTCTCCAGTACCTTCTGTGTCTCAGAGTTTCCCAAAGGTGGAAACCCTATACAAAACTTGATTGGGAAAAACCTGGCAAACCAAGATACTCCTTGATGGAGAATTTGCATTTGACATTGTCCCTTTGAGAAGCTTAGATGTTTTGGGATACAGAGATTAACTTGCCAAAGATGTAAACTGGGTAACAATAAAGAAGCCCTTGGCAGGAAGATCTCTATGATCCTGGTCTGCAGAATGAGTTTCAGAACAGCCAGGGTTGTTATACAGAGAAACTCTGTCTTGAAAACAGCAAAGTTTTAAAAAAGAAAAAAAAAAAAAAAAAAAGCCCAGTCCTCGAGAGTCTGAGCCCCCTTCCCAGCCCCTGCAGCTCGAAGAGGCTAAAGATCATCCTACAAGGCACCAGTCACATTCAATAACATGTCACCAGTCTTACACACCCAGTGGCTAAATTCCAGACTGTCTCTCTGTAGCTGTAGTGAGAGTTCTAATATCTGCTGGAAAAAAAACTGAAATATGGAAGACAGCACATCGGCACACAGCCAAGGCAGCAAGTGAGACCAGTCGGTATCAGATGTAGCTAATTGTGAAGCTGGAGGTGGAACAAATAGGAAAAGAAATGTCTTAGTTGCCTCAAGAGCACAACTTTTAACTGAAGTCCTTATTCACTGGACTCCATTTGTGCTTCTAAGAAATAAGATATAGAAACATAAACTTAGTAGGCCTACTCTTATGATTGCATTCAAAGTCAAGGTGCAGTGGCACACACCTTTAATCCCTGCACTCAGGAAGCAGAGGCAGGAAGATCCCTGTGAGTTCCAGGCCAGTCAGGTCTAAATAGCAAGTTCTAGAACAGCCAGAACTACATGGTAAGACCTTGATGCAAAAAAACAAACAAAGCCGGGTGTTGGTGGTGCATGCCTTTACTCCCAGCACTTGGGAGGCAGAGGCAGGCGGATCTCTGTGAGCCTGAAGCCAGCCTCGTCTATAGAAGCAGTTCCAAAGGCTCCAAAGCAATACAGAGAAACCCTGTCTCAAAAAAAAAAAAGTGTATTCAATATACCATATATATATAAATTATGATTTAGCCACCAATTTTAAGAAGGAATCTTGACACCCAAGAAAAAGAACTATAATTCTACAAAGACAGTCAAACGTATGATTAACCTTGCTATTCTCTCCACAGTAACGGCAATCCAACCCAAAGGAGCTCATGGTTTGGGGTGCTGGCATTGCTAGCTTTCTACAGAAGCGTTTTCTTCTCAAACCGTAGCCCTTCCTCTCTATTGGCTGACAGCCTGGCTGAAATGAGTGAAATCAGTCCCCAACATTGTGTCCTGTAATTTTTCTTTTTTTTTTTTTTTTTTTTTTTTTTTTTTTTGAACAGAAAGAATGAAAAGATGGACTGGGAAAGTGGAGTTAAAGACACTGGCAGCGTGACATTTAAAATAAACTAAGTCGAAACAGTACATCCTGCTTTCTTCCTAAAGCCATTTCCTTCAATAGCAACAGGGAGCGCAGCCGGTCTGCAAGTCATTAGTACACTGCTATTTTCACTTTCACAAGAACCCAAGAATCACTGAAGAACACAACCTCCCTCTTCCCTGTTAACCTTCCAAACCTCCTCTTTCCACACAACCTACTAGGCAGTCCTCAGCAATCCGCTATTTTGTCTGAGGATGCGGAAGGGGGAGGATCTAGTTGAGAAGTGGTTGGGGAGAAAAGAGAGGAAGGTGAGACGCAACCACGGAAAGAGTACTGGGGATAGGTCATCGCGGAAAGGAGACAAGGAAGAAGACTGCAAGCAAACTGAGCGGAGACTTAGCGGAGAATTCACCGAGGAAGACAAAAAGATGGGGGTGGTGTTGAAGAGCGGAAGCGAAATGAGGGGCAGGTTGGAGCGGCCGCGGAAACGAGGGCTAGGCAGGAGTGACCGACGCCGGCCCTGACGCTTAGCATTTGCAGCCAGTGCCAAGAGACAGCGGGCAGCAGGTGCCGGGGACACCGGTGTCGGGGGAGTCACCGGTGTGCGGGCAGCTTAAGACCCAGTTTCCAGCCTTCGGGGCCACGGACCTACGCGGCGCCCGAAGGCGGCACACACGGGGCTCTTACCGGTAGTTTGGGGCTGACCTCGCCCTTACAAAAGTGGCAGAAGAAACGGTGCGCGGCGACAGAGGAGCCCGCGTCCGCCCCGGCCGCCGATGCCTCCGCCATGTTTCGCCTCGGCCGCGGATGTCCGAAAGGGCGGCCGGCGGTCCCTGCCCAGGCCGCTACCTCCCGGGCTGCGGTCGCCGCCGTCGCCGCCGCCTCTGTGCGGCCGGCCGCTCCAGGGCCCGCAGGGGTCACGTGAGTACGCCCGGCCCCAAGAGGCCCGCCCGCCTGCGGCCGCGCGACCCGAGGCCCGCCTCCCGGCACCAAAGGCGGAGAAGAGACCGCCCGCCAGCACCTCAGACAGCCCCTGGCCGGTCCTCCAGCCTTCCACCGAGAGGAAAGAAAGAGCGTCCCCGGAAACCACCGACACCGTCGGCTAGAGCGGTCCCCGCTCTGACCCCCTTCCGCGTCCGCCTAATGGCGCTCCACTTTCCAGAAGGGGCGGTGGGCTGCCCCTGAGCTGAGGCTGCTAGTCTCCGGAGGACAATATTTGGAGTTTCTAAATTAGCGCTGACCCTGAGGTTAGTGGGGAACGCCGCCGGAAAGTGCAGGCCCTGACTCAGGGCCAAGAAACGAAGTCCGGAACAGGAACTTGCATGAAGGGAAAGGGGCCAGGCGCCTTGGAAATGCTTTTCAAGGATGGCAACTGATCTAGGGGTGTTTCTCCAAACACGGTGAAATAGTCTCCCCTGCGACAACGTGGCAAGAAGGACAAAGACTTAGGTACTAAAGGGTTGGAAAAATAGATGAATAATGGCAGGTCCAGCTTGTAATAGGGAGGTAATTCATAAATCAACTACATCCATTTCTGCTTTTTTGTCAAGGTGTGGAAATTTAATATGGTTCTCAAGGGAACATAACTTCTTCTAATTGAAACACGCAGTTGAGAAGCTCCTCTTTGCTTCTAACGTGTGGTTTATGGCTTGGGAATGATACTTTGTACTCTCACAGAGATGTGAGCCTTAGTTATTTGTATCTATTACAGATTTTACAAGTCGCTTGCATCCCCCCACCTTTTTTTTTTTTTTAAGGGTCTCACTCTGGACCGTTTGCTTGGCATTTATTACGTAGCCCAGGTGGGCCTTGAATTCATGGCAGTCCTCCTGCTTTAGTGCTGGGACTAGACATGGGAGTCACCACACCCAGATTAATCCAGCCTTTAAAGATTAAGGAAACAACATATAATCCCCTAAAAATAAATAGGATAAAGGGAAAATGGCTTTTTTTTTTTTTTTTTAAACAGGGTCTCTTGTAGCCAGGCTGGCCTTGAACTCAATAGTAACTTTGAACCCCAGGCCCACCTCCACCTCCCAACTGCTAAACTACAGGCTTGCACTGCCATACCTGGCTTTAGAACATATATCTGATGTCTAGTTTCCCAGTCTTGTTTTGATGGGCAGGTGTATCATGCACCAGAGTATTCATGTCTAACACAGGTTGGCTTTGAACTCACTTTGTACCCCAGGTTGGTCTGGAACTGTTAATTCTTTTGTTTTTGCCTCCTGGGTGCTAAAATTACAGGCAGACCCCGCCATTGCAATTACTTCTGTTACAACTCATAACAAATAATTTTGTGCTAGTTATAGTATGCAAAGTCATTTAAAATATTGGTCTATACTCATTTAAGGTTATACTATAATTTATTGATAGGTAATAGACTGTTTTAGTATGTCAGTGCCGGTATTATAAAGAGAACTAATGGCATGTGATTTTTTTGTTTTGCTTTGTTTTTTTATTGTTATTTCCTTGGAACAAAGAGGCCTAAATTAAAGTATTAAAGCAAATATATTCGAGAGTTTAAGGTTTGGTGTATATTGTCAAGTTGCCTTCCAGAAAAAGATATGTGAATTTATATCGTTGTTCTTTCCTAGTTCTGAGGCTCCAGACACAATGACTCAAGCAGAAATTAAACTGTGCTCTTTATTGCTGCAAGAGCATTTTGGTGAGATTGTAGAAAAAATTGGAGTCCACCTAATCAAAACTGGCAGCCAGCCTCTTAGAGTAATTGTCCATGACACCGGAACATCACTGGACCAGGTATGTTAGGTAATATCACTTTGTTCTCTTTAGCTTCTTTAATTCATTTTCTTCAGTCACCTTTTAGCAATGGTACTCCTTTCCTTGAAAATAGAAATAAAAAAGCTTGCCCTACAATGAGAACCACTATGGGATGGAGTGGGGTGGTATTGTACTTAGGCCCCAGAGTACTGCTTCTCAGAATGTTCCTAGCTCTCATCTTTGCTGTGCAAGTAATAATATTTATTGTTCCCATGCCACACTCATTTATTCACAGTAAGTCTACTAATTTAATGCTGCCTTTAAGGAACAAAAATGATAAGAAAAACAGGTAAATTGTGATATGAAAGATTTTTATCATGATCCTGGCTGAGGATGTAGCTCCACTGGTATAGCATGTGGGATGGCCTGGCTTGATCTCTAATACACATAAAACTGGGTATGATGATTTATGGTTATGATCCCAGCACTTGAGACGAGGAAGCTCGGAAGTTTGAGGTCATCCTCAGTTATATAAAAAGTATAAGACTACCTTGGGCTCCATGAGACCCTGATTCAAAACAGAAAATTAACTGGGCAGTGGTGGCACATGCCTTTAATCACAGTACTCAGGAGGCAGAGGCAAGTGGATCTCGGTGAGTTCCAGGACAGACAGGACTACATAGAGGAAAAAAAACAAAAAGCAGAAAACAAGATAGAGATTGGGGATAATATGAACATCATAGCAAGGAATTGTCTTGATTTCTTCCATTGACATTTGATTCTTACACATAGAGGAAGTAAGATTTTATGTGCAGTCAAGTCAAATTCAGTCCCTGTCCTGTCATGGCAGGAACTGGCCCAGATGGCTGCCACAAGTCCTGTTGCTCATGGGCCCTGTGTCCCCTGCCCTGGGACCTGGGGATAAGTTTAGCTGCAGACATTGTACCATAGACACAGGAGTTCTTGGGTCAAACAAGGGGCAGGTCCTGTTCAGATGGACCTGTGTTGTTTCAACTCAGACCTAGTTGCTTTTAAAAAATTAAAATTATACAAAGATTCAGGAGTCTCTTGGCTAGTGATGTGTTGCTTGCTAAGCTGTTGGGGATGGGTGTTATTGCCAGCAGTAATGAGCTGTGTAGCTCCAGGTCTTCTCTTTCTTTTGGGTCCTATCTAGGTGAAAAAAGCCCTTTGTGTCCTCATCCACCATAACCTGGTGATCTATCATGTGAATAAACGCAGTGTGGTGGAGTATGAAGCCCAGTGCAGCCGGGTATTGCGAATGCTTAGATATCCCCGGTACATCTATACTACCAAAACGCTGTACAGTGACACTGGAGAGCTGATTGTCGAGGAGCTCCTATTGAATGGCAAAATGACAATGTCAGCTGTTGTGAAGAAAGTAGCAGACCGACTCACAGAGACTATGGAGGGTCAGTACTGGATCTACAGCTCTTAGCAAAAAGCATGATTGGCTGACTGCTCTGTTCTCTTAGGCCATCTCACCTGCCTCTCTCCTCCTGTTGTACAGACGGCAAGACCATGGACTATGCTGAGGTATCAAATGCATTTGTGCGACTGGCAGATACTCACTTTGTACAGCGCTGTCCCCTGGTTCCTACCACTGGCAGTTCTGATCCTGGGCCGCCACCACCTGCACCAACCCTTGTCATTAATGAAAAGGACATGTACCTAGTTCCTAAACTGAGCTTGATAGGTAAGGAATTTTCATCCTGGAACGGTGATTTGCCCTCATTGTGGATTCTTCATCACTGATTGTTATGTGAATGAATGTCTGATTGTTTACCAGTTACTTACTGTGTATCAGTTGTTACAGTATGTAATAATGGAAACCCCATGATCCCTTCCCAAGACATAAGTCACATAGATATGTCACACACTGTGATATGGACTATGGAGAAGCCAGGTATCAAGGAATGGATTTATGTGTAAAGGCTTATGTTTTTCTGAGAAAGTAGAATTTGATCTGGATCTTGTTTTTGGATTTTTGGGGTTTTTGTTTTGTTTTGGGTTTTTTGTTTGTTTTGTTTGTTTGTTTGTTTGTTTGTTTGTTTGAGATGGGGGTTTCTCTGTGTAGCTTTGTAGACCAGGCTGGCCTCGAACTCACAGAGATCCACCTGCCTCTGCTGGCATTAAAAGCACCACCATTGCCCAGATTGATCTGGGTCTTAATGAAGAAGTAGGACCTACCAAGTGAGGCCATAGAAGATGGGTATTTTTGAAATTATTGTGTAATAAAAAAAAAAAGAAATAAGAGCATTAGAGAAAGTGAAAGGTCAGTGTAGAAGCAAGGTGAGCAAAGTTCAGAGAAGCTTGAGAGAAGACTAGAGAGTAGAGGAACAAGTTAAACAAGGCAGTGTAGGGTATCTGTTCTTTAACCTGAGAGCAAAAGGAGACTACTCTGGTTTTAAGCAGAGATGTGACATGATCTGACTTACGTTGTAAATTCTCTAGTAAAGGCAAAAGGACAGGGCAAAGGTCAATAGAGACAGACTAGTGAAAAAGCAGATACAGAAGCAGTAAGTCTTAAGAATGACATCTGAGTGTCTGATTTGCACCCATAGGGGCATGATGGTGCCATTCACTAAAAGGGAGCATAGGAGAAGCAGTTTGAAGGCAAAGACAATGGATTATTTTTTTCTCTTTTTAATGATTTATTTTATGTGCATTAATATTTTACTTGCATGTATGTCTGTGTGAGGGTGTCTGATCCCGTGAAACAAGTTACAGACAATTGTGAGTTGCCATGTGAGTACTGGGAATTGAACCCTGGTCCTCTGGAAGAGCAGCCAGTGCTCTTATCCACTGAGCCATCTCTCCAGCCCCAGAATTTTCTTTTCTTTTGGTTTGCTCTTTTGTTTTTGTGGTGGTGTTTTGTTTTGTTTTGGTTTTGGTTTTTTTCCAAGTGAGGTTCTCACTGTGCACCTCCAGCTGTTCTGGAACTCACTCTGTAGACCAAACTGGCCTAGAACTCAGAGATCCATGTGCCTCTGTCTCCTCAGTGCTGTAATTACCCAGGTTCAAGACTAGATTTTTTTAAACATACTGATTTTAGATGATATCCTCATTCACTTGAGTTTCTTAGAGCTCCTCAACCTCCTAATCAACTCTAACTTGAGGCAGCTATAAATGTAGTTGGGCTCCATTTCCTGTCATATGCTATATAGTCTAATCATTCAATATTTTGTCAGGAAAAGGTAAGAGGAGGAGATCATCTGACGAAGATGCTGCTGGAGAGCCCAAGGCCAAGAAACCAAAATACATGGATAACAAAGAGGTAATGGGGCTTCCTGATTAGCAGTCCTCACTCTGGAGCAGTCCAGAAATAGCCCTCAGATAACAAGCTCCAACAGAACCTGGCTAAGAAGTAGGATTATGAACTTCAGTAAGTGTTGGTCAGAAATAGACCAGTACAAACAATGCTACTACCATCTCTGCCCACTTCTCCCCTGATCTCTTTTTACTAAGGAACAGTGAGAACTCCTGAGAGTGGGAGGGACTTTGTGGAAGGAATGTTCCATGCCCTTCCAAGGCTTAACTTATTTCACTGAATAATGGTACTAACTTATACAAAGGGGAAGCAGAGCTGGGTATGTTGTTGTATCCCTTTAGGCCCAGCAGTGGGTAGGTAGAACACAGAGGCAGGAGGATCTCTATGAGTGCAAGGCCAGCCTGGTTCCGCATAGTGAGCTCCAGACCAGGCAAGGATACATGGGAGACCTTGTCTCAAAAAAAAAAAAAAAAAGCCAACTGGACAATGGTGGTGCACATCTTTAATGCCAGCACTTGCAAGCAGAGTTCTAGGCCAGCCTGGTCTACAGAGCAAGCCCTAGGACAGCCAAGGCCACACAGAGAGACTCTGTCTTGAAAAGAGAGACTTTGGCCAGGGTTGTAGCCCAATTGGTAGATAGTTTGCCTGGCATGCATCTAGCACTGGATTTGATTGCCCAGTACCAAATAAAACCAGAAGTGGTACCCAGTGTGACAACCCATGTCTTTAATCAAAGCACTTGGAAGGCAGAGACTAACAGATCTCTGTGAGTTGGAGGCCCACCTGATCTACATAGAGAGTTCCAGGACAGCCAGAGCTACATAGTGAGACCGTGTCTCAAGCAAACCATTAGTGGTAGTGTACAACTACAATTCCAGCACTCAGAAGTTAGAGGCGATAGCATCAGAAGTTCTGGGTTATCCTTGCACCGCCTCCTTCCCCCAGTAAACCATCAAACAAATAAAAGAGAGAACCTAGTTAAAGTTCAAGATTTTCCGTAGGGCTGGAACACATAGACCTATGAAGACTAGTGGTGAGGCATTAAGTTTAGAAAGATGCATTTAAGCCTGAACTGTTATATGCAGATGCCCTATAAAGATGGCTAATGAACATCTCAAGCCAGATGTGGCAGTGCATGCCTTGTAATCCCAGCACTAAAGAGATTGATGCAGGAGGATTACTGCAAATTCAAGGTCAAGGCCAGCCTACTACTTAAGGAGTTCCTATCTTTTGGTTTTTTGAGACAGGGTTTCTCTGTGGCTTTGGAGACTGTCCTGGAACTAGCTCCTATAGACCAGGCTGGACTCGAACTCACACAGATCTGCCTGCCTCCACCTCCCGAGTGCTGGGACTAAAGGCATGTACCACCACTGCCCAATCAGAGTTCCTATCTTTAAAAAAAAAAAAAGAAGAAGAAGAAGAAGAAGAAAATCTCAGAAGTATGGCTAGGAGCTGAGGCAATAATTCAGTGGGTAAAGCAATTGCTGCATAAGCATGAAGAACTAAGTTTTAGAACCTACTTAGAGCCAGGTGTGGTAGTGCACAACTGTAATCCAGGTATTCTAAGATGAGACAGGAGACCTAAAATCTCCAGAAGCTCACAGGCCAGCTATCCTGCTATATAGAGAGTAAAAGAAACCTATCTCAAACCAAGATAGAATTCGAGGGTTGACCCCTAAACTTGTCCTCTGACCTCCACAAACATGCTATGGCACACATGCATACACACATCATATACTCATACATAGACATAGAATTAAGCACATACACTCCAGCAGAAAAAGAAATTGGCATGACCAACACAAAATAATTGATTTCCCATTCCCATATACCTGCCCCCTCGTAAGCCACCTTTTCTTAGTAACAGAGACCCAATACCATGAGTTTAGGCAAAATTCCTTGAAATTCTTCTATCTCACTAATACTTATCAGCCCAATTTCCAAAATCATCTCCTATCCAGCTATTTCTTAACCTTCCCTGTTCTCTCCCTAGTCTAAAGGACCACATTATCTCCTTGTGTATATATAGAGTGGGGATTAGGTACATGTGCCTGTGCACACATACACTGAAGCCACAGGAGAGCATCAGATGTCTTCTAGAAATCTCTGCTTTATTCCTTTGAGTCATGCTTTCTCCCTGAACCTGGATCATGTAGTGTAAGGAGTACAGTTTTTCCGCCCGCCACCTGGGCTTGTCCCGCCGCCGCACCGCCAGCCCCAAATAACACACCGAGACTCTGTATTTGATATAATCTGTTGGCCCATTGCTAGTTTCTTATTGGATAGCTCTGTCTTAATTATTAACCCATTTCTGCTGATCTATGTATTTCTCTTACCGGGGAGCTGGCCGGCATTCTGCTTTCTCCAGACTCTCCATCTTGACCCCTACTTCCTATTTCCTCCTTGTCTCCTAGTCCCTCCTATCTTCTTTTCCTATTAGCCAACAGTGCTGTATTCATTAACCAGTATGAGAAACATATACAGAATGACAGCTTCCATCAATGTAGGCTGTTGTTGTTGTTTGTTTGTTTGTTTGTTTTTCTTAGTCATCAAGTCCCAACAATCCTTTTCCCTTACAGTGCTGAAGTTATGGGCATATATGAGATCATGTCTGGCTTGTTATGTGGGTGCTGGGATTCAAACTCAGTCCTTAT